TTGGGGCTGGGGATGTGGCTCAAGCGGTAGCGCGCTCACCTGGCATGCGTGCGGCCCGGGTTCGATCCTCAGCACCAATATCATCTTTATTTATTTATTTATTTAATGCGGTGCTGAGGATTGAACCCAGGGCCTCGAACATGCTACGCGAGTACTCTACCACTGAGTCACAACCTCAGCCCTATTTCTTGGGTTTCAAGGTGCCCCCTCAAAGGCAGCCCCAGAGCTGATATGGATCTGCCCACATGGATTTTACAAGTTCATGGACTTTTTTTTTTTTTGGTACCGGGGATTGAACTCAGGGGCACTCAACCACTGATCCACATCCCCAGCCCTATTTTGTATTTTATTTAGAGACAGGGTCTCACTGAGTTGCTCGATACTTTGCTTTTTGCTGGCTTTGAGGGGGCACCTCATTCTACTGGGATTGGTCAGTGTGAACAGCAGAATGAGGCAAAAGCAATGGCTTGTTGCTTCCAAAATTTCCAAGAAAAAGACTATGCAGTTTTTGCTTGACCTCCTCTTTTTATTCCTTTCTTTCTCTTCCTCTCTAATGTCACTAATAGTCCTCCAGAGGAGACACATTGTGAGGAACTATGGCCCCCTGTCAACAGTCCTGTGCAAGATCCTGGAAGGCTCAATCCTGTAGTTAAGCTTTCAAATGACTACCTCCCTGGCTGCCAATTTGCCTGACACCTTGAGAGAGATCCTGAGCCAGAATCATCCAGCTAAGCCACTCCCACATTCCTGACCCTCAGGCACTATGTGAGAAAATAAATACTTATGGTCTTCAGCTATAAATGTTAGGGTCATTTGTTATACAGCAAAGAGAACTAATACACTCCCTTCTTGCCCAATGATGAGAGCTGCAAGATGAGCATCCACCCAGGGTGGATGGGGCTCTTACTGCCTGCATACCCATATGCCCACAAGCACCCAGTCAGAACTCCTAAGGCTTACCATCACTGTAGTCAATGGGGGAGTAAGAACCAAGGAATAGGGAAGCAGCAAAGCTACTGACCAAAGAAATTCTCTGAAAAAGAAACAGTAAAAGGTTACTCGCTTCCACATACCTTAAGTTACTGAATACTTCTGACACAACAGGAAGAGAGTTTAAAATTGGGAAGGGAAGTGGAAACTTTGAGCAAAATCCAAGCAAACAGTGGAAACTGAGTATCCCAGATAAGAGCAGCTGGAATTCCAAGAACTGACTCCTGGGTAGAGCACTCACTGTCTGCAATTTCTGACAGGCCATGGAACTGTCAAGATCAATGAAAACACAAACTAAAAGCCCGTGAAAAATCTGTGCATAGAGAAGCTGATTTTCCATACAGAATCCATGGGCTGGGAAACATGTGCCCTGACTTCCTCCTCCACAGGGAAGAGGATGTGACCACAGGACTCAGAATGAACCAAGATACTCCTGGGGGTTTGGGATATGTTTAAATAAAAGCTGGTCCCTAAGAACCCAGACCTTAAAATCATGTGATAGATGGAATCACTGACAGAACTTAAAATGTCAGCCTGAGGAATCCACATGAGCACTATGGGCTCCAGGACTAGTGGACAGAGTGCTGCCACCTCCTGTCCCCATCAGGCCACCTTTATTCCACACACAGAGTTTGGGGAGGCAATCCCCCATGGCTAATGCAACAGAGTAACCTAGACCTTCAAATCATTAAATAATAAACTGCGTGTGAATTTCCAAGATTAAAAGGGTACTTTGAGTTTATTGTGAGATGGTCATCTTCTTATTGCAAGGAAAAAATCAACAGCTAGGGTGTGGAGCTGCTTCTTGGGTAGCATTAAGTGCTGGCTTTTGGAAATTGGGCTACCAGGAAGGATCTGGCAACCTGTGATACAGGTTGAAGGACTACAGCTAGAGACACAAAGCTCCAGCCCCACCTGTCTACAGAGAAGACCCTGACCCATGCCAATCAAGTGCCCACCAGCCATGCCATCCTGCATCAACCATACAGGAAAGTGAATGGACAGAGAGCCCCAAGGCACCCAGATCTCCTACTCAGGTGGTCTCAGAAAGACCCAAATTCCCACCACTTCTTCCCTGCCCCTGCCCAGGACTCCTTCTGGTCATGAGAGCCCCTGACTTCTTTTTCTCACAAGGCTGTTGTTTTTGGCAACAGTCTGACAATGAGGGAAAAAAGCAAGTTGAATACAGTCATGCACTGCTTAATAACAGGGATATGGTTTAAGAAAGTGTCATTAGGCAATTTTATCATTGTGCGAACACCATGCAGGATATTTACACAAACCAAGCATACTACATACCCAGATAGATGGTGGAGCCTACTGCTTGCTTCTAGGCTACAAATCTATACAGCATGTCACCATACTGAATACTGTAGGCAATAGTAACACAATGGTAAATATTTATGTATCTAAATGTATCTTCTTTTTTGGGTACTGGGGATTGGACCTAGAGGCACTTTATCACTGAGCCATATCCCAGCCCTTTGGAAAGGGTCTTATTAAGTGGTTGGGGCCTCACTAAGTTGTTGAGGCTGGCAATCCTCCTAAGTTGAGATCCTCCTGCCTCAGCCTCCTTAGTTGTTGGGACTACGGGTATATGCTACCACATCTGACTTCTAAACATATCTCAACATAGAAAAGGTACAAATAATTTTTTTTTTGCCTTTATGTTCTTATATAAGCATAGCTTTGGTATCTTCAGAATAACCAATACCAGAAACTCAAAAAATAAAAAAATAAAAACACTTTTAAGAGACTAGAAGCATAGCAGTTTTATTTACAGCATCATTGTCACAAACACATGAGAATTCCCTTCAAAGTTAAGACAGCTATAATGTCACTAGACAATAGGAGGTGTTCAGCTCACTGTAATCTTTTTTTTTTTTTCCCCCACAGTACTAGGGAATGAACCCAGGGCCTTGCACATGCTATGCAAGCACTCTACCACTGAACTACATCCCCAGCCCTATTTATTTTTTACTTTGAGACAGAGTCTTGCTAAGTTGCCTAGGCTGGCCTCAAGTTTGTCACCCTCCTGCCTCAGCCTTCTAAGTATCTGTGACTTTCAATCAAACATGAATATTGAACCAACCTCTGTGCGTGAGTAGGCCTCAGGGTTCTGCTGGTATATCTTTGCAATTTGGTTTCCTGTAAAACGCTGAAAAAAGAGTGCAACTTCTTAGAAATCAAAATCCTACACAGAATAAATAACTCCATAAAGAGAGTTTAACATAGCATGCACTGAATATTTGGTGGTAAAATAAAAACTTTTAAAAGGCCCCTAATCTGGAAATGCTTAGTTTCTGCTGAACAATCACACTGTGTATTTTAGCCTTTGGATCCTTAAAATGTTCTAGGGTAATCAAATACTCTGGCAATAAACAATCCCCCTGTACCCAAAGGACACAGAAGTAACTTCTGGGCCTTCTGGGAGGGCCTCTCACTTGTCAGGACTGGACAAGCCTTCATGAACTGAGGCACTTTTATGCAGATATTCTCTCCATCCGACTTCCTCTTGTTTCAGGTGGCCTAAGTTGGGTTGATCCCCTAAACCTCAATTCCAGTGAGGTCACATGATCCATGGTGGCCAATCACATGATCCCTGGGGCTGGGGCTGAAGTCAGCCAGGCACTGCACAGTCCTATGTTCTCTGACTCTTTTCCACTACAATGGTGCGCTGGGGTTGTAGCTCAGTGGTAGAGCATTTGCCTAGCATGTGTGAGGCACTGGGTTCAATCCCCAGCACCACATAAAAATAAATAAAGAAAATAAAGATATTGTGTCCATCTACCACCAAAAAAAAAAAACATAAAAATAAAAAATACAATGGAAGTGCTATTGCTATGTCCAGGTTTCAGAGAATGAGACTGAGGTTGCCATGATCATACCATGTACAGTAGTAGCTTGATGTGAGTAGCTTAGCTGGGTTCACTTCACATCCCAGCCTGACCTGGGAACTCATGGGAAGAGGCTGCCCTGGCCTGGTACGTGCCCAGGGAAGCAGGACAACCTGGATCAGGAGGCCGGGACACCATGTCCCATTCTGGCTCCCTTGGGTAGCACCAGCAACACTTCACATGACTCCCACAGAGACTGGGTACCACTCCACCCTCCTAGACACCCATTTTTAGAGAAAAGATCTGCCCTATTCCCCAACCCATTGTGGGGGCTGCCCACCTCATAGGCGCGGGACCCTGTGAGGCAGCTGAGAGACTGGGCCCCACCCACGGCGGCCTCTAGCTGGCGGCACTGGGCTGTGGTGCTGGAGTCCATCCACACTGGGCAGTCGCTGATGGAGAAGCAAGTCTGGAAAGAAGCACAAAGGTGCAGATTGAGCTCCATGGTTGACTCAAAGAGCAGGTATAGCACTTCTTCCCAGGATGTGCCCTTGGGAGACCCATCAATGGCAACCCTTTGGCCTGGCCCCGGGGGGTCTCTCCCTGAAGGCCTAAAGGCAAAGGCTCTTCCAGGGAGGGCACCTGAGCACAGCAGACAACACTAGAGACTACCAGAGAAGAGCTACAGCTCTAGTCAGGTGCAGATTTTTCAGGGACTTCTGGAACTCAGGAGAAAGGGGGAAGGCAGAGCCCCTGACTTCACAGCATGCACCAAGGGGAGATTCTCGAGAGGCATGCAGAGGATGGCTCAAAGTCATTTTGGGAGGAAGGGACTTATGTGATTCAGGTCATTAGCACCTGACGCCCTGCCCAGACAGTGGGGAAACTCCACCTGGGGAGGCAGGACAGACCACCCACAGAACTGCTGCTGAAGCCAACTCCTTATATTCTCAACAGTGCATACAGCCCCAGACTTCCAGGCCACAGGAGTTGGGGCTCTTCTGCCCTCTCTGTTGAAGTTTCTCAGACTCACAGACATGGTCACAGTTACCTTCAGCTGCTGGTGTAATGGGAGGTCTGGTGACAGTGCCGTCAGTGTCAAGCTGGCCCCAGTCTTCCAGTATATGCTTCCATGTTGCTGTTGAAGGGAAACCCAAGCACATGCTCATGTGATCACACAGTGGTATCACAGCCTCCTGGAGACACAGAAAGTCCCAGGCCACACACCAAAGAACTGGGCTCCAAGCCTGTCTCTGCAAAGTCTTAGTTAAAGATCTCATCACCTTTATGAGATTTGGTTTTCATTTCAATAAAATGGAAAGAACTCTGCCCTGTCACACCAAAATTTATAGTAAGGTTCCAAGAAAGAATTACTCTTCTGTATCTTGGTGCCTGTTGTAAAACTGTATTTAAATGTACTGATTGCAACATTACCTACAATTCACTCGTCCTACTCATTCAATCACTTGAGCCCCTAGATCACACCAGACATAGGATAGATGAAAAGGATATTTTTGACTCTATTTCTCAGGATATTGGAGTTAAGTCAGGGGAAAAGATACAAATGTACAATCACAAAACCCTGTGGAGTTGCAGCGACAGGGCTGTGAGAACACACAGAACCCAACCAGGTTGGAGTATAGTTAAGTCAAGTGGGTGCTGAGTGTTAGGACAGAGTTAGGTGCACGGGTGCTCCACAGAGAAAGCATCCACAGGTGAGAGCCAGCCTGGCAGGTCTGGTGAAGGGTGGCATTCTAAGCAATGGGCCTTTTGCTAGAGCAGGACCTAGGCAATGGGATGGAGGGAGAGGAGGCGGCCTGAGCACCAAGGATCTTGAAAACCAGGCTTAGGAGACTGGGATCATCTTGAAGGTGGTAGGAGCCATGGTCTGGAGGGGAGTGCTGTGGCCAGGGCTGAGCGTATAAAAGGGCTCATGGGAGTCAGGGAAAAGTAGGAAGAAGGCAGAGGAGCTGCAGCAGAGGCTTAGAGGGAAGTAACAGATACCTGGCCTGGGACAACAGAGACAGTGCTGGCAGAGACATGGTAGATTCAAGAGTTTCTTACAACTTGGATGTGGAGTGGGAAGATGGAGTAGTAAGGATGACACATGGCTTGTACTCCTGGACAAGGAGTACAAGAGGACAATGAGAATTCCCTGAGAAAGGGAATCTGAAGAGAAGGAGGTATGGGGTGAAGACAGAGTACCCAGTCTAGGACATTCTATTTGAGGCACTTGTAGGGTTCCCAGTCATGGGGACTGGAGACATTATGGTTTAGAAACAATGCAAGAATTTCCAGAGGTGAAATGATTATGAGCAGTGGGACCTAATCAGTGACTTAATCCACAGATAGGGGTTAATTGGGCGGTAAATATAGGTAGGCAGGCTGTGGCTGGAGGAGGCAGGTCACTGAGGGTTTATATGTTGTCCCTGGAGAGCAGAGCTCTCTGCTTCCTGCCTGCTATGTCCTGAACTGCTTTCTTCTGCCATGCTCTTCCACCATGATATTCTGCATCACCTTGGGCCCAGAGCTAGGGGACTGAGACCCCTGAAACCGTGAGCCCCAAATAAACTTTCCCTTCTCTATGTTGTTCTTGTCAGGTCTTTTAATCACACTGATAAAAAAGTTGACTAAAACAGATGTCTAGGAAGGCAACAGGTGCCCAGGCCTGGGGTCCAGGTGAGAGAAATGGATTCCCAAGTAATCCTTTTAGTTTAATGAGAATAAGAACAATAAATTCCTATTAGGTCAGGGGTAAAGCAAAAGGCCTCTTTAGAAGTCCATCTAATGAGAAGGTAAAAACCTAGTGACCCAGTGAGAAGTGAAGGGACTCCAGCATAGCACAGGGACTAGAGGATGAGACTGGAGGTGGTACTGACTTCCCTTTCTAGCAGCTAGATGAGCTTGGGCAGGTGATATCATTTCTGTGTGCTTCAATGTCCTTAGGTAAATGTCAATAATAATAAAAACCATAGATAACATTAAATAAGGTTTATTATGTCCCAGTATTCTCTATAAAATAATGTTCACATAACTCTATGACAGATGAGAATCTGGAGGCACTTAGAAGGCCTGTGATATTCCCCAGGTCACAGCTTGTAAACGACAAAGTTGGGCATGCCCAGAGCTCTTACGCTGATCAACATAACCAGTACCCTCTTAGAATTGCTATAGGGTCTAAGATAATGGACATGAACTCCTCAGTGCAATCCCTGGCCATATTAAAGGTTCAGTCAGCATTCTTTGATATTATTATGACTATGACTCCTACTACTAAAATTACTGCCATCATTAGTATCATTTCTTATCTGGCTTTTACTTCCAGGAAACAGAAAAGCAATTTCAGTGCCCCCAAATAGTCATAATAAATTCATATTGAATGTTCCATCCTCTTTAGAGGACCTCTATTTGGTTCGCTCACCAAATGTCCTATTTTACATGCTGCTTCATCATAAGAACTGTCCCAGATCCTTGTTCGATAAAGTAAGTCATATGGTCTCTAAGGTGAAATAGCTGGAGGCACTTTCACTAACAACAAATGTGTGTCCCAAAAGGAGCCATCACCTTCTCACCCAGGCCATTGTCTCCAACAGCCACCCTCAGAGGACCGACATGGCTATTACACACAAACCTGGCCTGCCCCAGACAAGGCTAGGACTTGAGAGAAGTCAAAACCCGAAGCCTTCATCTTCTCCAAGATGATGTCCAGAGCCTGAGAAGAAGAACAGAATCCACCGTGACTACACTGAACTACTGAATCGGGTAAGCCACAGCCTCAAAATGGAAATGCAGTGCTTGCCATTACAGCAAGGGCTCTGGGCAGAGGAAGAAGGTCCTAAAGACAGGATCTGTAAGCACTAGAATATGTTAATTAAACAAGTAGGCATCAATCAAATAAAAAGGTCAACTATGCTAAAAATGTTTAAAATAAATAGATTCACAAATCACAAGTCTTTAAAGTTTGTTCTTCAATTTGGGACTTCCAAGCACTCAGGAGAAGCAAAACAAAACAGCCTAAATTTAGGTTTCTTTTTAACCCACCATATTAATGATCTGACTTAACAGAGAAATGAAGAGCAAAGCAGGGGGAGAGCTCTTCCATCAAAGGAGGGCTCCAGGCCCAGACTCTTTGTGTCTAGGAGCCCAAAGTTGAGGATGTGGGTAGAGATGGTGGCCGTTTGTCACAAGTCCCCGGTCCACCCTCCAATATCTGGTTGCAATTATCTTTCCAGCAAGACACCATGGGTGGGGTGAATGGTGCGACCAACAGACCTTGACACTACCCCTAAGATTTCACAGCAGGAAGTACAGATTCACCTCAGCCTGTGTCTTCCCTGAGGACAGAGAAATCACTCCAGCTTTTGCTTGATCCTGCTGTCCCTGCATCATGCTAGGAGGGCTCCCTCCAGCCCTGACTATGCTGCCAGCTGTCTCCCTGCTTGTCAAACCTTAGGCAGGGTCTAACAAATTAGGAACAGTTCCAGAAATCACCCTGACCCCCCACCGAAGCCTGGATCTTTCTTCTGTGCTTGCCTCCCCAATGAAGGCCTTTGTATATCAGATGCCATTAATGTCATTTCTGAGACCTCTTAACAGTAAAGCTTGCCTCTAACTCCCTGAATCCCCACCTTGGCTTAGCTCTCTGAAATACATTCCAGCTCTTCTATTAGATTAAAATCTATCCTTTACCCAATTCTCCAGTATATGAGTCATGGTCAGATTGATAAAAAAGAACTTATACTAGTTACTTTTATCAGGAAGAATTTAATACAGGAATTGGTTAACAGGTATCGGAGGACTCAAAAAAGCTTTTGGCAGATACACCAAATGCTGCCTGTTTGGCCTCTAGTTTCAGAGACTCTGGTCTCCATGGGACGTGAGGCAGTCCAAGCCCTATCATGCCTATCTGTGCTGTCTACATCCCTGGTCCTGGAGCCCCATGGGTCACTAGATCCAGCCACAGGAATCTTCCTTTCTTGTTAGTCCTAAGCAGGCAGGCCCATTTGGACTGATCTGAGCATGATTGGTCAGGCTCTAAGTTACCAGTGTGAATGCCCACGCCCTGAAGCTGAAGGGTCCAGGGGGATAAGCATAACATTCCAAGGGCTGTTTGGAATTCAAGGTAGAAGACAGACCACAGCACCTGACTGATACTTCCAAGTATCTTGGAAGGCTTTCTCTGTGGTATTTTAAAGATGGCACTGGTGAGCTCAGAGTGGTGGCACAAGCCTATTATTCCAGCTTCTCAGAAGGCTGAAGCAAGAAAAGTCACAAGTTCCAGACCGGCTTGGGAATAATGAGACCCTATCTCAAATTTTGAAAAAAGTCTGGGGGTTTAACTTAGTATAGAGTGCTTGTCTAGCATGAATGAGGCCCTGGGTTCCATCACCAGTACCAAAAACAAAAACAAACAAATAAATATGGTACTAGCAGAACTTGGCAGCTGTGTGACTCTGGTACCTGGAAGTCCTTTGTGAGTCCTCTCACAAAGGCTAAGGCTGAACCTGCCCTAGGAACCAAACAGACTCCCTTAAACCATGAGAACCTGGTCTCAATAGATGCTCTCATGAGCTTCCACCTTGGGGCTTCCTAGTAAATCACTAAGACTATCAGTGAGACAGGCTAGGGACAGAAGGAAAGGATGCCTGTGCTTACCTGGATCCACATCAGGACTGGAGAGGTGACTGTCAGCCTGTCCTTGTGCACATGAACACCACCCTGAGTCCTGCAGGGAGAACAAGATAGAATGTTGGCTGGAGCCTCAGGGCAGGCTGACCACAGTGAAGCCAGCCTGGGGTGGCAGATGCTAGAAACTGGCTGATAAACAACCCCCCCCCCCCAGCTTTAAGTGGAACTCTGAGAGGGAAAGATGGGGAGAGAAGGCATGGAATCACCCAAGGTGGCCCAGAGGTGGCAATTCTTAGAAAGGATCTTCTAGGCATGAGGGTCTGGCCAGGGGAGGCATGGTGCAGAGGCCAGGAAGGAAATGGGAGAATGTGGGGATGAACTAAAAGCCCTCTGAAACCTCATGAGTTTGGAGAAGTCAGGGACAGCTGTTATACAGAGATGCTACATCTGCAGGAAGTTCTCACCTATCACAGCAGCCCCGGAGTGGTGGAGGGGTAGGTATGTGTATGCACGCACAGTACTGGGGTTTGAACCTGAGGATGCTCTACTGCTATGCTACATCTCTAGTCCTTTTTTATTTTTTGAGACAAGGTCTTGCTAAATTGCTAAAGCTATCCTTGAACTTTGGATCCTCCTGTCTCAGCCTCCCAAATAGCTGGGATTACAGGTGAGTGCCACTGTGCTCCCTTACCAGGGATTCCTTGAACTGGAAGCCCTGGAAGTTTCCTGGAACCTTCTCCTCATCTTCATCCTTATCTCACCCCTAAAGGACCTTCCTGCAAAAAGCTGGTTTAATAAAATCTAACACTTACAACTATAAATTAATATTTTAAAATAGGTTCATAATCCACACCATCTATTAGATATCTTGTGATCTAACCATTCTATCCCTAATAGCTAAGAGAAAGGAAAGTATAAGTCCACAGAACTATTCACACAAGGCCAGGTGTGGTAATGCATGCCTATAATCCAAGCTCTGTCTTCTGGAGACAGGAGGACTACAAGTTTGATGCCAAAAAAGGGAGAGAGGGATGTAGTGCCTTGAAAGCACTAAGCTCACTTAGCTTACAATTCTGTTGGTCAGACATTGGGCTGGGCTCAGCTGGGCTCACTGGTGCATCTGTGGTCAGCTAACAGTAGCTAGAGGGCTCTGCTGCTAGCTGGCTGGCTCTTGGCTGAGGAAGAGGGCAAGGAGGTGACATGTCTCTTATTCTCCAGCAGGCTAGCCTGATCTTGTTCAGGTGACACTGAGCAGGATTCTAAGAATAAAAGCAGAAGTGTGCAAGGCCTCTAGAAGCTTAGGCTGAGAACAGGGACAGTGTCAACAGCTGAGGAAGTAACTCCTTCTCTCAAGTACTTAGCATGTACAAGATCCTAAATTTGATCCTCAGCACCAAAAGGAAAAGAGAGAGAGAGAGAGAGAGAGAGAGAGAGAGAGAGAGAGAGAGAGA